TAAGCCCATCTGTTCTTGTGGCTATTTTAAGAAGTTCCTTCCTTTCCTTGGCGTTTACAGGCAGCATCAATCTCTCTCAGACTACATTTTGTTAGGAGCTTATCTAAGCTTTCAGTCTCTGCTCATGAAATAGCCTGTTCCCTCACCATCCCTGGACCTGCTCCAGCTGAAATCCATCTTTCTCAAATGTGGGTGACCAGCGCCACATAAACTATTCCAGACACGATCTCATGAAGGCCTTGTAAACACCATTAACACTTTCTCAAATTTTATGGGAAGGAATTCCCCTGATCCCTAGTCCATCACTTCCCACTTACAGCAGAAACTCGTAGGTTTAATTCCGAAATAACACAAAATATAGAAGCGGTGTTAAGCGTGGTACTTCATTTCTCCTCTACTCAAGGGTAAACCCACTTTCCCTGTATGGTGGTCTAACCCTCTCGGCAATGGCCACGTTGACCAACCACGTTTTATCAGCGCACATTCCCCACTCATATTTTTACACCAAAATCACTAAAAGATCACTGTTGTTCCCCAATCTATCCCAGTCGAAGAACTTCACTAATCCTCTCCCCTCATCGCAGACAGTGTTAAAAGGGAATGACGATTACCTTCGCCTTAGGTAAGGCCACGGTTTCGATACTAACTCTCCTCTCCAGCTGCTTAAGAGCTCTCTGCAGGCCACGTAGCAGGTGCCACACTCAAGTTAAAACATTCAACATGGCACATTTCCAGCATCCCATAGCCTACCAACACGCTGCAGATGGTTTAATTCTCTCTCTACCTTTTCCCCTTCTGAAGCCTTACATACTGCTGAGGTCACACTAACCGGCCTCGGTTTACCTAATCCACTTTCGCTCTCTCAATACAGAGAGAGAGAGCTTCCTTGCCTTTGTACTTCACCTGACCTTCTTCTAGTAGCTCTTGTCAGAGACTATCGGGCTACGGAGGCTTTTATCTACTATGGCTGTCTTCAGCCCTGCATCATCAGCCACACGGAGAAAAAAAGGATTTGTGAAAAATGTTGAATTGCTGATGGCCTGCAGATCTGTGTTCCTGTTCCCCATGTTCCTGCTCAGGCATGCTTTCCGGTACTATCGCTGACAACTTTGCCGTTGAAAAGCACAGGTTTGCCGTGTTGAACGCTCTAGCATTTCCCATGCTGGTAAGCCAATTCTGCTAGCGCGTACACGGCCAAGGTCTCTAGACAGGGCGAGATCACTAATAACAGAACAAATGCTCATTATTGTCCAAAGGCTGTGTGCCAGCAATTAAGCCATCCAGCTGCACTTGCCGTAACATTAACGCAGAGCCCTCAGACATTTTTAGCCATTCCACAATTACATATAATTAAAATGTTTTTAAAACTACAGATTGTCACAAGTCTTCCCGTTTAAAATATCTTCTCCTTTTTCCCTTTTCAGTACAAAATGCAACTCCACAACTCTCTCAGCAACTGGAGAAAATAATACTAATAATTATAATATCAAAAGCTTGAACACTCTAATTAAGTTCAGCTAAATCTGGCCAATATTCAGATGGACTCCCTGCAAGGTAAAGCAAGGCCAGTCTTCAGAAAGGCACGTGAGTAGCTCTGAAGAGTCATTTTTTGAGCAATATGCGAGAACAGAAGGCTGTGACTACCAATTCTCATTTTTGGTGGCAGATTTCCAGAAGCAGTAGGTGTACTCCTGGCAAAATCCCAACTCCAATTATACAGTGTCCACCTACCTCTAGAATTCATCTGCAAGTTATTTTTCCATCTTCTCTTTATGAAACTTATTGATTAGGGTTACTGGCACAGAACAACTGATGCCTTCCATCCAAGATGGGCTGCATTTTAAGTGTATGACCGAATTCAAATTGTATTTATTATTTCTGATCATATTATTTGCACAAAAGGCAGAACATTATCAATCAGAATTGACTCAGTCAAGGAGATGTTTCATTGTAAAGAAACAAAACTAGGTATCACATCCAAGTTCTGACCAAGTTTCAATTTCTCTAATCAATACAGATTGACAACCAAACCCCAAGGGTCTGTCATTTGCCAGAGATGGTCTTAAATGGTCTTTTCCAGGCAGCAAAGATCTGATCAATAACAAGATGAGCAATGGCAGTGATAAAGCCACACAGTAATTCCCAGATAAAAAAAATAAAGTGCCTTGTTATCTGCTGATTCTGAGTGCCAGAATGGAAATACATTATTCTGAGTACCCCAAACTGCATTTGCAAAGGCTGAAGCAGTGCTAAAGCCTGTTAACTTCAGAGTGTCCCCGTATTAACAAAAATCAGGCTTTGCGAGTCTTAGCCTGCAGCAGCGAATCCGATTTTTCTTGTGAAGTGACTTTTCTTTTGAACGAAGACAAGTCCCGCTTTAGGCAGCGGCAGCCTGCCTACCCCCTTCCCCATAGATTTACGCCGGTCCGGACCACGCCAGAACGGTACGAACAGATCACGCAGAAGAAATTGGGGCAAGAGAAGGATTCCCCACAGCAACTAAGAGTGATCCTTAAACTACCAGGATACATCGGAAAGGAAGCGTTTTCTTGCCTGCTCCGCGCTAACCCCATCAAAAGCAGCTAAACCAGCCGGTGGGCTGAAAAGACATCAGTCGGCCCAAGAGGCCGCACAGACGAGCGGATGCCTCCTGCCTCCTCTCCAACGCCGGCTTGCGTCGCTGGC